TATTTTTGCATATTGAGAACGAAATTTATAAACAAAAAAGCTGAGAACTTGAAATTGAAATAAAGTTCATTAATTAAAATTATTAAAAAAAAAAAGCAATATGGTAAGTTCTTGTAAAAAAAGATAAATAAATTAATTTATTTCCATTACATGATAATATATGAAAAATAATTTAAATCAAATTTTTTTCAATTTTTAGTTATTTATTAAGCCTTGCTTGGCGTCCCCTGATTCTAAGCTGCCCTCTATACTGGGCATAAGCTATCTACAAATTGCCTCAATCTTCACCTTCTTACTGCCATTTCTCTAAGTTTAATAATATTGATGTGTGATCTGCCAAGGTGTGTGGTTTCGCTGTTAATGTCGTTTAGTGTTGATCTGCGCAAGGTAATCTTAGGCCTTCCTCTTCTTCTACTGTCTTGCGGATTATACGTAGAGGATTGAAAACACATTTCACTTGACGGCTTTCGTAAGGTATGACCAATCCAGCCAAACTTTCTCTTGCGGATATTTATGTTGCTATTGTTTGTATTCGTTCTGTCCCACAGTTGTTGGTTTGAAATTCGCACTTTGTATTGAATTATCTCGGTTACACCCAATGCTTCGCAACCATACAGCAGTACGGATAAAACACATGATTTGAAAATGTTAACTTTTGTCGTTAACTTGTAAAAGCTAAATCTTCATATTCTATTCATCTTTGTAAACGTGTCAATCGCCTTTCGTATTCTTGCACTCACGTGCTGCATAGTGCCACCATCAATAACTCCTACATTTCCCAAGTATTGAAATTCATTTACTTGTTCCATTTCTTTGGTGTTTTGTACATTGATCTTAAGCCCAACTTTTGCCGCTTCTACTTCCAGATTTTCAAATTTTCGCTGCATGTATCGTCTGCATAGTTCAAAGATACTAGTCGGTGGTTTGGGTCTAAAGAGTTCCATACGATGCCACGTGCAATATATTCGGTTGCACGTTTAGAAACATCAGCGACAACGATTAAAAACTGCACGAGTGACAATACACAACCCTGTCTTACTCCAGATATTGTACTAAAAGTATCCGACATTTTACCTTTATGCATCACTGCATATTCAAAACAGTTGTAGCTACTGCGTATGAGAGAGATTATCTTCTCCGGCATACCGATGTTATGCATCTCCTCCCAAATACACTCGCGGCAAATTGAATCGAACGCTTTTTCAAAATCAACGAAGAGAAGGTATAGTGGGAACACATCTCAATTGAGTGTTCAATGATAATTCTTTAAGTGCTAATCTGGTCAATACACGAACGGTTACTGCGAAAGCCTGCTTGTTCTTATCGCAATTTGGGATCAATATGTTGTTACAGTCTGATATATTCCCTTTTTTTCCGATCTTCAAATTCCAATTAACAGAGGGTTGAGAATATTTGCAAATAGTTGCGCATCTCCTTTAAGTATTTTAGCCGGGATGTTGTCAGCTTCAACACTTTTGCCATGCTTAAGCGACATTGTAGCGTCGATTATTTTCTTTTTCGATGGTGAATTTATGTTTACAGGCAATGGTAATATACTTTCATTCAATGTAGCTTCTGTACCCGTGTGCTGAAAGTTTAGCACGTTCACAAATGTTCCCTCCACCTTTTAAGCTGGTCTTCCAATACAAAACAATTATAAAATTGTTTTGTATTGGACGTAGCAGCCGCATTTTCCGTTTCTTTAGCCATATTGTCAATATATTTCCTCTTATCTCTCACAGCGCGTTTCTTATTTTTATCAATTTGTCTGCATTGAGCCTGTACTTATATCGTTTTTCTGTTTGGCTCGCCTATCAATGTATGGCTATCAAGTACGTGCAGTAATGAAGTCCTCATTTCTGTTGATCTTCTATTAGCACCTCGTTTACTACGCTTATCAGAGAGAGAATTGTACCATTTTGCCCTGAAATATATGTGATCTATCTGATCTTAAGTAACAGCATCTGGGGAAATTCATGTAACTTTGTGCTTATATTTATATGGAAACAATGTCCCGCCAATTTTTAGTTCGGTAGTGGCACAGAATGCTATTTAGTTAACTTTTATAATTTAATTTCAATGAGCTATTCTAATCAATCCTATTCAGGGATGTGCACTTTATCGTTGAATGAGCGCTAAATAGGTTACAGTATTTTAAGAAGAATATCATGACACCAGGTAGTAACGTACCTACCTACACCATTACTTAAAATATCTATTCTGAAGTTGTGATCAAACTTCAGCTCATGAAAACTTCCACTGGAATTGGTTATTGACATCATTAAATGGATCTAATTAAAAAGTTAAAAAATTAACTAATTAATTTTAAAAAAATTAAAAATCGATTGATTAAACTGAATATTACTTCTATTCTATTTAACTTTTATTATTGTAGTTCTAAAGACTGTTATTTTAAATGATATTATTAAGAACTTTTTAAAAAAATTGAGCTATCTCTAAATTTCTCTTTGATTTTCATTTTTTCTATCTTGCTAACCTTTTATTGTACTCTTTTGCGTTTATTAATATGCGTTAATATTATAAATACAAAATAAAGAAATACATTCCGTACTATATTTGGCGCTTATAGATGTCGTTCCATGTTTATTGTGCTTCAGCTAGCTCACTTTTGGCCGTTCTTCTCCACGTCCACATCTTGTGCTTCCTTGTAGAGGCTATGCTTTTCGATTCATTTGGCGTAGCAGGCGTTTATTTGGTATTCGATCTGGCAATCATAATTTAAAAATTCTATTTTTCAAATTATCTTCTTCTCTCTATATAATATTGGAAAGGTTAACATTTTTCAACAAAAACCTCATTCTGATAGGTGATCCATGTTGAGTCTGTTAAAAACAAAAACATAGAAATATAAACACATGCAAGTTGGGCCAGTTAAAAAAAACCATGTATTCTGAAAAAACACACCCAATGGGAAAAAGTAAACATATAAACTATCAAATTTATTATTACATGCATGATCACTAATATTTCAATAGTGGAGTCATCAGTTCTCCTCGAGGACTGACGGCAAGTCCATCTGCTTCGGCAGCACGCACAACGGATTTGGAGGTGCGAAACTCACGTTTAAACAGAATTTCTTCGTTAGGTACAACTGTAACCAGAACATTCCCTTCGAAGAGGGGAAAAGAATACTCCCGCGGTTAGGATGGCCTGTCGTAAAAGGCGCCTAATATCCCTCAGTGCCAGTCTGGCACTTATGCAAGAAGTGCAAATGGTAGTGAGTTGTGGGCGGCAACTTGCAACATCTAACCAGAGATGATACTATCTGGTACTTCGGGGGTCAGTGGCCCGACAGCTTCGGCTGTACTGACCATTGGTGTTGGCTTCGAAGTGGTTGTGGTTAATACCCAAACTTACGCGGGAAGAATGTTTTGCTTGTCATTCATTCGCCGTGGTGTGCGTTTCAAACCGGGTGCTGCAGCTCGAATTGTAGCAAAGGTCAGTAGGTAGGCCTCGCATCTTACCAAGGCGGAAGTTATAACTTGCATGAATTTCTTCATTGGTACCGGCGGAATAGAGCAGACTATTCCAATGGGGTGTTGATTGATGCTTAAATTAATACGTGTGTTAAGAGCACCGTGATGTTGAGCCTAGATGGCAGGAAATCACGTAAAACGAAAACAACATCTGCAACCAGAACAACTTTAAACACCAACCACGAAACGACCAAAACTTTCTCTCCATGAAATCGAAATCCTTGATCGGATTCTGGAATATTCGAATCCTTGAGCAATTTTCACGGGAGCTCCTTTAACTAAAACTTGACATGATCGGTATCAACAAATGAAGATGGAAAGGCTTTAAGGAAATCAAATTATATAATAGAACTAAGTTTCTGTACTCTGGCAGAAGCGATAACCATCATAATGGTGTCGGTTCTCCTCAGCGAAACTGCCTTTCGTGCCGATTTCGCTATCGTGCACGAAACGTAACCATAATTCAAACCTACTCTCCTACTGAACTAAACGAACTCAATGAAAAGCTGTCCTATTATTGTCAGATTTCGTCTATTATTCATAAAGAATATAAACAACATACATTACTGTTAATATGGTTGCATATTTTGCATATTTTTTGTACATTGGACTACTGCATTCCAGTATACTCCAACCAAGATGCATTGCAAACTTTTCCAATATATTCTCTAGAAACCGTTTCACATCTGCTCCATTAAAAAATTTGGCAAAATAGGTTTAAAACCGATTTAAATCGCAAAGTGTTTATAAAATATTTTGAGAATGTAATCGCTTATATTTTCTGATCGTTTCCATATTGCCTAAACTCTATGGGTAAAAAAAATTTACCGATTGGATAAGCCCGGGAATTCAAAAAAAAGAACAAATAAGTTCTTTTTTGATCACAAGGTATGCTATGTAAACTGTCACAACAGTATTGTCAATTTCTTATTTTTACAAGGTTTTGGTACTTTTTGGTTGTACCTTTTTATTATATTATCTTATAATAACTGTTAATAGTACTTACAAAATTATACGCCTTTCCTTAAAATCGGAAAGTGTAAAAATTAGATTATTAACGATTTATAAAATAGGCGTATATAGGCGTACTAAAATTGGAGAAATTGGCTTTTAAAAGGTGCAACAGAAAGTATTGTAATTCGGTTAAAACTTAAATCAATCCTATGACAAATTTATTCTTAGTACGAGTATTGACTGCTATTTTGTAACAATTTGAAGTAGATAGAAATTTTGTTAATTTTCTTTGATATATGTATATATAAAATAGTTGTACTTGTTGTGTAAGTAGACATATGAGTATGTATAAACATATCATATAAACATTGATATAGAAAAAAATTTCAAATAGAAATTGAAATTTTATTTTGAATATAAAAATATTATCTGTTTCTCAAATCTTTCAATAGAAGTAGTGAATTTTAAAGAGCTTGCCCTAATTAAGGTAAAATTAAAAAGTGTCGAACTTAAATTTACATATCAAAATTTGATATCTTTGATATAAGAATAAGAATACTTATAAATATTCTTGGTATCTACTTGATTTGACATCGCAATCAGGAGCAATCCATAATTACAGCGAAAATAAAGAACAATGCTATCGTGTGTATAGGCTGAGAGGTATTCTATTTCAATGCAGATGTAATATTGACAATGTAAATATATTGTTACATGTTTTACATGTTCGATTTTGAACACTAAGACATCAAAACAAGTCTCAAAACAAATATTGATATTGATTTAAAACCACAAGACAACCATTCATAAAATAAGATCCTATATCACATAGGTAAATATTGAATTATTCTTCTTTAATATAGTTAAATTTAATTTAATTTTTTTTTTTTGTTTAAATTTTAAATTTTAAGGATTTTAAATTATTAAAAAGTCTTGTTTCCCTTCTGCACGAAAGCGTCTTAATTTTGTACGTCAACTATAATTAATTAAAATTAACAGCAATTTTTAATTTAATTATATTCTTTAGTAGAGAACCTTGTTTCAATCAACTTACTCAATTTTTCACAAAATGCCTAAGCCAACAAAGAAATTGTCTTCGCAAGAACAAGCACAGGAATCGGATCCTGTTTGCCTGAATTTCCATGATATTATTCTGCGTAGTAAGGATATTAACATATTGAAAGGTCCACACTGGCTAAATGATCAAATAATTGCTTTCTATTTCTCATATCTTAAAAAATTAAAGTGTAAAAACAATTCGGATATACTTTTTGTAGCGCCAGCAGTGACCCAGTGCATGAAGTTTATAAGCCAGGAAGAATTAACAACCATGTTAAAAGACTTGAATGCCGGTTCTAAAATGTTTATATTGTTCGCATTGAATGACAATATAACGGCACTTGCTGGAGGTAGCCACTGGTCATTGCTGGCGTTATCCAGGCCTGAAAGAACATTCTACCATTTTGATTCCCTCTGCGATCAAAACGTCAGTGCGGCCAGTCAATTAATACACCAAGTCAAAGCTGCACTGAACTGTAAAAGATATAAATTGAAGACAATGAAATGTTTGCAGCAAGTAAGTGTTATTTTACGTTTTGTCTTCTAATATAAATTCATTGACTCATGTACATCTTAGACAAACACCTATAATTGTGGAATACATGTTCTATGTATGGCTGAAAAAATCGTTGACTATGTTAACATATTCAAACATATGGACGGCGTGGGTCAGTTGAAACAAGAAACTGTGGATGGTAAACGTGCTAAGTTGTTAAAATTAATCGTTACTTTGGGTGGAAAACACGTTTCAGTTTAATCTATTTTCTATTTGTTATCTTTATATGGTACTTATAATATTCTTGAAAGTAGAAATAAATACAAATTGTTGCAATTGGTAGCAATAATTATAAAGGCGCTAATGATGATAATATTGTTTTAACTTCTACTGGATAACAAGATCTCCAAAAAACATTTTCCGCTTGTTATATTTCTTTCTCAATTTCATTTCAAATATGTCAAGAATCTATAATTTCTCTTTGTAAACTTTGTCTCTTTGTTATTTATGGTCTTTCATGGTTTCTTGTTTCGTTGGAATAGGCATTCTAACATTGTATATCCGTCACCATTCTCCATTCATCATTTAAGCTTAGATAGGTTTTTTGAATTATATATTTCCAAATCGTTTTGCAATACGTTTTATAAGGTTTTTGTTACAATACAAACATGGAGCACATTTTAGGAATAAAGTGAAGTCCTTATAGAAGCGTTCAATAATGTCAATTTTGTTATCGGCGGTTCCGTTTTTCCTCACAAAGTCTGCCACAACCGAAAATCAGAATGACCACTTCTGTATAAGAAAATTGTGAAGGGGTAGTCTCTTGGACGTACGCGTCAAAAGAAGTACCGACATCGCGTCAGACCATCATCTTCCAGTTGCGACACCTCATTTAAAAATCTGCACGGCCGAACAGCTACATGCCTTGAATTCACTGCATAAACTCACATAACCTTAGCTTTGGAGAAATAAATAAAAAGTGAATTTATAACATTTCCACATAGCTTCTTATTTTTATTCTGTGAAGCCTCGCTGACCAGCAACAACCTGGATCATAAATTTTAAACCTTTATAAGAAAAGCAACAGGAAAATTTTAAAAATTTGATAGCCCCGCACTATTAGAATTTTCGAACTCTGGTCAACATTTCACCAACTACCTATCGCAAGTGAAATCAAAAAGCGTAAAGGCAATGCATCGGACACACATAGAGGAAGTCATCAAACGAAATCTGCAAACAAGTGTTAACGTGAAATTCTGAAAGAAGCAGAAAACCTGGTGGGACCAAGCAAACATGGAAGCGAACACTAGATAAAGAAATTCAAGCAAACAGAAAAACCTTTGGAGAAATTAAAACCCTGCCAAGAAATCATGACAGTTGGAAAAAGATCGTTATGGCGCAATGTTCCCTTGGGAACACAATGGAATGAAGGAGTCATCAATCAAACTAATAGCAAACGCAACATACTTTACTTAGACAAAACCATTATTAATTATTAAATATTATGGTGCTTATTAATATAACTCATAATGCCTGTTTAATCATAAGTTTTTTTATGATGTTTTGAGTATTAGTCTTTTTCTTTACAATAATTATTACTTATATTTTATCAAATACTAACAATGTCTTTTACGAGGTGATGCTAATTTATTCACTTAAATAAATTGCTTTAAAAAATTAATACAAATTTTGTTCAAATTATTGTAGTTTACGATTTATTTACTTAATTACACACGTAACAATTCATATTATATATATTTTATTTTTTTTTTTAACTATTTATAAAACATTACTGTTTAATTTTAGCGCACAGACTGTCTTTCTTTACACACTTTTCAAAGAGAACAAAAAAGGCTTTTTATATTACAATAGAATTCAAGTTGCAAATTAACATGCGTACGAATAATTGAGTGCGAATGTCAAGAGCTGAAAGCTCAAATGAGTAAAAGAAATGACTCAAAACTGGTATTGATCTTGCTCTACATTATTCGTACACATGTTAAAATGCTTACAAACTCAACTTGCTAGATCTACCAAAGCACCGTGCTCCAACAATGCCATCATTTTAAAGCATTTACACTAACAACAACTGTGGTTGCCCTACTGCTATTGTATTTATCATATTTGGTAAATGATACCATGGTACCTTGAAGAAACTTCTCAGAGCCTGGCTTTATGCAATTTCCATGGGACACAATGAATTCTAAGTTCAGCTTTACTAAGCTTTTTAGAACTGAATTAAGCAACAAAAGAAACTGGGAGGGCATCAATCAAACCTACCAGCTAACGAATACTACAATCGCATGGTTCACTGACGGCTCGGTTACGGACGAAGGTGCCGGAGCGGGCATAGTCGGACCAGGCAAGAAGCACTGGGAAGCGCTGAGAAAAAATACTAGCATCTTTGAAGCGGAAATCTACGCTATTTTATTGCGTACTCATCAATATTGAACGGAATTACCAGGGAAAAAATATTGCAATACTGACAGACAGCCAAGCGGCGATCAAGGCACTGAACTCGCATCAGGTGGCCTCAAGACTGGTGTTAGACTGCCTTGATGAGCTAAATCTGCTTGGCGAAACAAATAAAATGTCGATACCTTAGGTACCGGGACATACTGGAGTACGCGGAAATGAACACGCGGATAAACTAGCCAGGAAAGGAGCAGCCACACCGATAATGGGGCTGGAACCTTTTTGTGGACTAGGAAATAGTACGCTTCATTCTCTCATAAAAATAAAGGAGAACCAAAATAAAAAGGATTACTGGCAAAAATTACCAGAATTAAAACAATCCAAATCAATTATTGGTACCTATAACAATAAGAGATACCAGGATTGTATGAACCTATCAAAAGAAAAATTTAGAATCATCACAGGAATCCTAACAGGGCACTGTAGACTAAAACACCACCTTACAAAACTGGGTATACTTACGGATGCAAACTGTAGATTCTGTGAAGAGAATGAGTAGTCGGCCACACATATGCTGTTAGAACGCCCTGCGAGAACGCAAATACGAAATAGGGTCCTGGGAATGTATATTCTTACGGAAGAGGCAATAAAACTCTGTAAAGTAG